GCATTCTAGATTTGAAGTTTTCGTGACTGCAAGGATCCATACTCTTTGGTTCTTTCGGGAAAGTCACGTAGGTATAAAGTATAAAATGAATTAAATCACGACGTTTCGGACGCAACACAAGCATCCGTCATCAGGCGGGACAACCACAGCAATAAACAATTGCTGAAGTAGGCAAAAGAGCTGCTGATAACAAGGGGTTATATAGATGAGGGAGGGGGGAGAAGCTAAGGATAAAGAGGGTGGGGGGGAAAGAAGTAGCGTGCTGCAAGCTCGACATGCACGGTAAATAACCTGAGGAGCAGGGATAGAGAGGGTGGGGGGAGGAGAGGTGGCGTGCAGCAAGCTCGACATGCACGGCAAATTTCCAAGTGATGGGAATGAGCAGGGCTGGGAGTAAGAAACTGGAGATGCGGATATGAAGGCAAACTATAAAGCAGCTAAAGTTTTTACCTGGTTAATAACATCCTTCCAATGATTGCTCAATTTGTATCCATCTTCTCGGTTGAAGTTATGTCTATGTTTATATATCTGGATGGCTTCATGAACAAATCTTTGATAGTAGCCAGACGGTTTGCAGAACACCTTGGACTCAGAAAAAACAATATCATGAGAGCCCACAGTGTTATAAGAATAGTCAGCAACGGTGGAGGAATTAGTCCTGCCGTGTTTCAGATCTGACTTGTGCTCGCGGACACGGTCAGAGACATGACGTTTCGTTTCCCCAATGTAATAATCACCGCAGATGCAACTTAGTTTGTAGACTCCAGGGTATTGCAAGTCAGGAATGACATCCTTCACAGATGGGATTAGATCACGGATTTTGTGTACTGTACTGAATCGGACCTGGATCTTGTGTTTGTTTAATATTTTGGAAATATTTTTGGTAACGCCTGCTATGTATAGTAACGTGATGGTTTTGATCGGTGTCTCAAGGGGTTGTTTCTCCATGGTTGGAGAGACAGCTTTGCAGATAATGCAGTCCGAATATCCATTCATCTTAAGGGCCTGGTGTACATGTTCCAGTTCACTGGCTAGGTGGTGTTGGTCAGAAATGCAGTGGGCCCTGTGCCGGGTGGTGGTGGGAATCGGGTTTCAGGTAGGAATCTGTGTAGGTGGCTTTCCTGTAGACAGTGTCCCAGAGAGCCATCAGGTTTCTTCTCAAACAAAACATCAAGGAATAGTAGTTTGCCATCCTTCTCCACTTCCAATGCTAAGAAACCCACTAGTAACATCAGCAAAGATGAGCGCTTTGAACTCGCAAAATTGAAAAAGAGGGATGACATCCTCTCAGCCGACAAGAGCAATGCTACTGTCACCATGGATAAAACCACATACAACAACAAAATCCAGGACCTTCTTAATTATGGTAGCTACTCCAAAATCAACAAAGATCCCACTAACAGCCTATGGAAACCAACAATATCATTACAAGTTCGACTTCTCTAATCGAACCAGCTAAACGGCTCTCCCTAAAACCTTCTGCTGCCAGACCACCCAGATTCTATGGTCGTCCTAAGATCCATAAAGATGACACACCACTCTGGCCCATCGTTTCCACTATCAACTCACCTACCTATAAACTGGCACGTTTTATGTCTGATACCTTGCTTCCATTCATTGGCACGACTACCTTAGCAGTACATAACTCAGCTCACTTGGTCTCTCTAATCAAGGGCATTTCACTGTCCCCAGATGATTTTCTCGTGAGCTTTAATGTTGTTTCTCTGTTCACCACGGTTCCTGTGCCTGACACCTTAGCAATAATTGAAGATTTAGTCCAACATGGACTGAACCCTGATGTTCCTAACCTGCCTTACCAACACTTACAGTGAGGGAAAAAGTATTTGATCCCCTGCTGATTTTGTACGTTTGCCCACTGACAGAGAAATGACCAGTCTATAATTTGAATGGTAGGTTTATTTGAACAGTGAGCGACAGAATAACAACAAACAAATCCATAAAAATGCATGTCAAAAATGTTATATATTAACTTAGTACTTGGTGGCAAAACCCTTGTTGGCAATCACAGAGGTCAGACGTTTCTTGTAGTTGGCCACCAGGTTTGCACACATCTCAGGAGGGATTTTGTCGCACTCCTCTTTGCAGATCTTCTCCAAGTCATTAAGGTTTCGAGGCTGACGTTTGGCAACTCGAACCTTCAACTCCCTCCACGGATTTTCTATGGGATTAAGGTCTGGAGACTGGCTAGGCCACTCCAGGACCTTAATGTGCTTCTTCTTGAGCCACTCCTTTGTTGCCTTGGCCGTGTGTTTTGGGTCATTGTCATGCTGGAATACCCATCCACGACCCATTTTCAATGCCCTGGCTGAGGGAAGGAGGTTCTCAGCCAAGATTTGACTGTACATGTCCCCGTCCATTGTCCCTTTGATGCGGTGAAGTTGTCCTGTCCCCTTAGCAGAAAAACACCCCCAAAGCATAATGTTTCCACCTCCATGTTTGACGGTGGGGATGGTGTTCTTGGGGTCATAGGCAGCATTCCTCCTCCTCCAAACACGGCGAGTTGATGCCAAAGAGCTCCATTTTGGTCTCATCTGACCACAAAACTTTCACCCAGTTGTCCTCTGAATCATTCAGATGTTCATTGGCAAACTTCGGACGGGCATGTATATGTGCTTTCTTGAGCAGTGGGACCTTGCGGGCGCTGCAGGATTTCAGTCCTTCACGGCGCAGTGTGTTACCAATTGTTTTCTTGGTGACTATGGTCCCAGCTGCCTTGAGATCATTGACAAGATCCTCCCGTGTAGTTCTGGGCTGATTCCTCACCGTTTTCATGATCATTGCAACTCCACGAGGTAAGATCTTGCATGGAGCCCCAGGCCGAGGGAGATTGACAGTTATTTTGTGTTTCTTCCATCTGCGAATAATCGCACCAACTGTTGTCACCTTCTCACAAAGCTGCTTGGCAATGGTCTTGTAGCCCATTACAGCCTTGTGTAGGTCTACAATCTTGTCCCTGACACCCTTGGAGTGCTCTTTGGTCTTGGCCATGGTGGAGAGTTTGGAATCTGATTGATTGATTGCTTCTGTGGACAGGTGTCTTTTATACAGGTAACAAGCAGATTAGGAGCACTCCCTTTAAGAGTGTGGTCCTAATCTCAGCTCTTTACCTGTACAAAAGACACCTGGGAGCCAGAAATCTTTCTGATTGAGAGGGGGTCAAATACTTATTTCCCTCATTAAAATGCAAATCAATTCATAACATTTTTGACATGCGTTTTTCTGGATTTTTTAGTTGTTATTCTGTCTCTCACTGTTCAAATAAACCTACCATTAAAATTATAGACTGATCATTTCTTTGTCAGTGGGCAAACGTACAAAATCAGCAGGGGATCAAATACTTTTTTCCCTCACTGTACTTCACCTGGAATGTTACTTTCTACAACCAAAATTAAGGTACCTCTATGGGTTCCCCCTTATCACCAGTGATAGCAAATGTGTTCATGGAGAAACTTGAAACAGATGCCATCCAGACATCCATCCTACGTCTTTCCTTTTGGAAGAGATATGTGGATGACACTTTCGTCATTTGGCCACATGGCCTGCCAGTACTGAGCCAATTTCTCAACCACATTAATTCCATACACCCATCCATCAAATTAACCAGGGAAGTGGAAAAGGATGGCAAACTACCATTCCTTGATGTTTTGTTTGAGAAGAGACCTGATGGCTCTCTGGGACACTCTGTCTCCAGGAAAGCCACCCACACAGATTCCTACCTGAAACCTGATTCCCACCACCATCCGGCACAGAAGAATTCCTTCATCAAAACACTACACCACAGGACCCACTGAATTTCTGACCAACACCACCTAGCCAGTGAACTGGAACATGTACACCAGGCCCTTAAGATGAATGGATATTCGGACTGCATCATCTGCAAAGCTGTCTCTCCAACCATGGAGAAACAACTCCCTGAGACACCGATCAAAACCATCACGTTACCATACATAGCAGGCGTTACCAAAAATATTTCCAAAATCTTAAACAAAGACAAGATCCAGGTCCGATTCAGTACAGTATACAAAATCTGTGATCTAATCCCATCTGTGAAGGATGTCATTCCTGACTTGCAATACCCTGGAGTCTACAAACTAAGTTGCATCTGTGGTGATTGTTACATTGGGGAAACGAAACGTCATGTCTCTGACCGTGTCCGCGAGCACAAGTCAGATCTGAAACACGGCAGGACTAATTCCTCCACCGTTGCTGACTATTCTTATAACACTGTGGGCTCTCATGATATTGTTATTTCCGAGACCAATGTGCTCTGCAAACCGTCTGGCTACTATCAAAGGTTTGTTCATGAAGCCATCCAGATATATAAACATAGACATAACTTCAACCGAGAAGATAGATACAAATTGAGCAATCATTGGAAGGATGTTATTAACCAGGTAAAAAACTTTAGCTGCTTTATAGTTTGCCTTCATATCCGCATCTCCAGTTTCTTACTCCCAGCCCTGCTCATTCCCATCACTCGGAAATTTGCCGTGCATGTTGAGCTTGCTGCACGCCACCTCTCCTCCCCCCACCCTCTCTATCCCTGCTCCTCAGGTTATTTGCCGTCCCTGCTCCTCAGGTTATTTACTGTGCATGTCGAGCTTGCAGCATGCTACTTCTTATTTCCCCCCCACCCTCTCTATCCTTGGCTCCTCTCCCCCTCCCTCATCTATATAACCCCTTGTTATCAGCAGCTCTTTTGCCTACTTCAGCAATTGTTTCTTGCTGTGGTTGTCCCACCTGATGACGGACGCTTGTGTTGCGTCCGAAACGTCGTGATTTAATTTATTTTATACTTTATACCTACGTGACTTTACTGAAAGAACCAAAGAGTACGAATTGGCATGTTTTGTTTACGTGACAAACCTTACTAATTGGCTGTGATGGGTGTTGGCGGGTTTAACGACACATTTATATTCACGCGATCTTACCAAAAAAAACCTCTATTATGGATGATATTGGTCGCGAAAGACTACATGTTAAACATTATTACATCCTTTATTATAATGAAAATAAAGGTCAAGAGGTCATGATGTACCAATGCATTGATTCGACCGAACAAAGCTCATTATTGCTTGCAACTGTTATTTTTTCATAAGCACTTAAATTAAATACATTTAAATTGTAAAATGTCAGTGTTTCCCTGCTCAAATGAGCAATGGGACAGTGAGTTGGCAGCCCTAAGCGATTGGTGGAAATTACACATTTCTATGGCGAAAGCCAATCTCTCCACAGAATAACCACTATTGACTCTCCACAGTATAACTTATTTTATTGGCCCTGGAAAGATGATGGGCTTAGGCAGCTCATTTCCAGGATTTGAACTCGCGACCTCCCAAATCTGAGTTGAAGCATTCTAAATACACCATTTTGTGCACAATCATAAGAAACAAAAACTCCACACTTTCTTCAATAACAGCTTGTGTCAAACTAGAACCCATATATATAACAGAGAGGGTCCTTGCCTATAAATATCTTGCAGTTTACCAGAATTGCTTCAAGCAAGCCTTATGACAGTAAATGTCAAAGCCAGTGCAGAGTTTTCTCCGTGAAGAAGGCGTTTTGCCTGCTTATATTATCTTTCATAATGCTGCCCTAAACAAGAAAAATACACGAAAGCCAGCATTTATGGCAATGGCCCTGCATCACAGCAGAAATATGAACACGGCATTACCTGACTGGGTATAATACTGTATATATACATACACATATACAGTAAATGGTGGTCCAAAACACTTTCTGGCCTCAAAGCATTAAGCTGCATTTTTTCTTTACTAAATATTTCACCTGGAAAATACCTTCAGAAGCAAATTTCTCCATGGCATGTGGCTTCCTTCCTACCTGTCAAAAACCTCACTACATCTCACATGCTGGATGCTACACTAGTAAACCCATGTCTTACTTTCGCCATAGGAACATCACGGCTTGCAGAATGGGAGCTTCCTGTCTCTCCGTCTCTCTGTCACAGGGATATACACTTGCACACTCAAGTGCAGCCCAGTGTTGTGGCGCTCAGATGCAGACGGGGTATCGCAGCCAGGTGCTTGCCAGCTGTGTGGCAGAAGAGGACTCGGTTTTGAGATACAGCGGCTTCTGCTTGTAGTGTTCAACCAGATCCACCACCGTCATGAAGCTGTGCTAAAAGGAGACAAGTGACACGTGCGGTCATGAGACACACGTCCACACACACACCACCGTCCCGTGTTACAGTGTGCTTGCTCAATAATTAAAGCAAGCCACTTTTAGGCATGTAACTGTTGATCGTATGAATAACAATTTTCTTTAAGCCCGAGGTTCATGGGTTAAAATTATGCGTGATTTAAATAGACAGTCACAGTCCATACATTACTGAGTGGACAAAAAAATGGAAATTAGTTTGAAAGTACTTCCATATTAAATCAAGAATGAGGCGGAACAAATGTCGTGTTTACAGAACTGAGTTCGTGGTGGAAATTTCACATTCCTATGATGGGGGAAGTCCATTCTGAGGACAATCAAACATAATATTTTGGTGGGTGAAGCGGGGGCTTGACAAAGGTGCTGTAAAATGTATTGTTAACTTAATTCAACACTTCCCAGTTCTGAGGGATTACATGTATGAACATATTGGATGACTGACACACAGAGAACGGCTCTTTATTTCATTGTTTATCCAGGTGAGAACTCAAGAGACCAGGGTAGCCTCACTTTCAAGAATGACCTTGGCATTAGTTCGCCAGTAGAATACCAAATGAAAAATTTGCGGGCCATTTTCTAATTTGGTAAACTTGGACCCGCAGTAATAATAAGGGCAGTTTGTTGATATGAACCTCTGCAACAAACGGCAAAATGGGGTACCGCAGTGGCAAGATTTGATCTCCCTCGCCTGGTACGCAGGAGGTCATGGGTTCCATCTAAACCCGGACACCTCTATATTTGGAGTTTGCATGTCTTTCTCTGTGTTTGCGTGGATTTTTCTCCGGATACTCCGGTTTTCCCTGCAGATTTATTAACATGCTTTTAGAGTATTTAGCTGCTATACATTTCCACATGATACGCTACTTCTTTGAGCTATAACTTGTGGCCAGGTCGCTTCTGAAAAGGAGCTATATAGCTCAGTGGGCCTTACCTGATAGAGTAAAAAAAAATTTGTAAAATACACGACTGCTCGGTTACATCAAAGGGGTGTCGACAAGCAATAGTTAAGAGAGGCCAATCGATTGGCTCTGTGGTGTTATCTTCCAGGGCCGTTCCCTTGCTGGCACGACGTCACGAGGCTGTGCTGGTGGTAGGGGGGGGGTGGGGATGGCGGCGCCCGCACCTCCTTGCTGAGGTAGAACTTTGTGGAGACGGGGTCCCAGTACAGGCGTAAGTTGTAGATGCTGCCACCGTAGTGAACCACCAGCGTGTAGGGCTGCGTCACCCTGTCCCCCGAGCTCTGCCGCACCAGGAATGCGCCGTCCTGAAGCGAAAGCCATGGACTCTCAGTGCAGACCTCAATCACCACCGATGTTCGCAGTGGCGAGGTATCAAAGTAACGGATATATCGCGCAGTTCGCTAAGCACCGCACCACCGCTCCACCATCCCCCCTATTAAATTAAATACAGGCAACCCTCGGTTTATGCGCTTTTGTGGTACGCCATTTTGACATAATGCGTGCTTGGTATTTAGGACTTTTATTGACATACATGAGGTAATTTTCGGAATAAAGTCACCCGCAACGTGACATACGCCACCCTGGAACCGCAACCCAATGGCGTTGCCAGCAGCCAGTGTCGTATGATAAATAGTGTGCTATACGGTACAACATCTCGTCGTGTGTACACCAGCGCCCTTCCTTTTGTCTCCACAACACAACTCCCATGTCGTTACAAAGTGTAGGGGACTAAATTGAGAAGAAACGTTACACGGAGCTACTAAAGGTTTATAAAATAAAAAGACGACACGGGGTGCTGAGAGAAATTACAAAGAGAACAGGTTGTGAAGGGATAATTAAGAACACAGGTGGCCGGATGTCTAACATTTGGAGAGGAAGGGTCACAGGTGGTGAAGGGATAATTAATGAGAGGGTGCTGTAGCAAGGGAACAGATAGTTAAGAATAAAGGAACGAGAGGGAAATATAAAAGGGGAGCGTCTCTGACAATAGGCCTATTGATATATGCGAGGATAATATTGGTGATTCTGTCTGCGAGTGTGAGTGAAATCTCCTTTATCATTATTTAATATGGGGAAATTGTCTTTGACAGAAATGCAATTTTGAGATACACGCGATTTTTCAGGAACGCATCTATAGCGTATGTCAAGGAGTACCTGTATAATGAAATTACATTTTCTGTCAAGTGACAAAAATAAGTGCTAGCATTCCATACTTTAGACATCCCTCAGGTTTGAAAAATGTGTTTCCCACAATTTAACATTCCTCTGTTTGACCGACGATCGTAGCAAGTTTGGGCACAAGACACGGCATCCTTGAACGCTCTCTTACCTTGTTGTAGGACTTCACGACTTTCTTAGCCAAACCACTGTCACATTTGCCAGCGTACCACTTCCTGCTTTGCAGATCCTGCACACGTGCATCATCGACAGTCGTTTATATTAACAATACAATGATCATTGATATGTTCAATTGTTTGGTAATTAATATATGTTGAAAATATTCCAGCCTCTTTGTAAATCCACTGTTGGATGAAGGCCTCCCCACATCATATCAGTTATGGGGGTTGTTTCGTCATATTTACCCCAATTCCTAAGTGTGGGTTGGTAAAGGATGATCCCTAGGACTAGTGAGATATCACTTACCACTGATTGTAGCCGTGGTCATAAATCTAACTCAGGTCGCCGGGTTCATAGCGTAGTACATGAGCCATTGCAACAGCATTCCATTCTATATCGCATGATCAATCGGAATCCCCTGTGGTGGAATGCAATTGTATTTGGGGGCAAAGCAGCAGCGATGCTATGGGAAGGCTACACTCCAGGTGACACCACTAGAACACAAATCATTAGGCTGTAGTTAACCTGTTATTCCTCCTTTCTACTGGCACATTCCAAACAATAATTATGACAAAGTTGCAGCCAAGATATGGAATTAATCTAAGAGGATTTCAACTAAGGAGAAGGAGCAATGAAAATAGCTCGTGTGCGGCAGGTGCTTGGTGGATCATTACATTGCAGGATCGTGTGAGAGGTGGCTTCGGTGTGGGGAGGCCTTCACCCAGCAGTGGATGTTTAACGATGTCCGAGTCTGCAGATTGCGTCGCCTTTGTGCTGCAGCACGAGGTCACTTTAACTCACGTTAAATGAACTCGAGGCACTGTCGGCTGCCGTGGGCCAGGGTAAGGTGGCGCTGAGCTTGCACCCTCCCATCCCAGCGTCGCTATGCGAGAAAGAGGAGGAGGAGGGGGTCGGCGCGCCCGCTGCCGTTATGAGTCTGGGAGCGGTGAAGTTCCTGGGCGCCCCCTTGACCGCGTCACTGCCACCGACGCTGTCGAGCACAGGTCTGAGGCCGGCGCTGAAGTTGCTGTCGAACAACGCATGGTGTAGATGTGTAACAGATGGCGATGTAACAATCCATACAGCACTTCCATAGCAATCAACAAGGCTCGATTATTGCAACTTACTACTCGACGGAACGTCTGGCAAAAACATTACCAAGCTGCAGTGTGTACAAAATTCTCTGGCACGTGTCGTGACGGGCAATGCAAGATCAGGCCATATCCATCCAGTGCTCGCGGAGCTGCATTGGCTTCTGGTTGCCAAACGAATACATTATGAGGTCGCACTCGTTACACAGAAAGTGCTTGCCACAAATGAACCACAATACATTGCTGATCTCGTAAAGAAGCATAAACCATCACGTGAACTTCGATGATCCTCGCAGCTGTGGCTTGTGGCTATCCATCAAACAAAGATGGTCACTGCATTGCGAGCTTTCAGATGTGCTTCTGCGGCCGTCTGGAACGCTCTTCTTTCCGATATATAAAGCCACTAGAGCTTACACTTTTAAATCTAGATTGAAAACTAATTTCTTCATAAATGATTTTTGTGTTTAGTTTATTGTTCTTCCTCCGTACTTCCGATTAGTATGGTTGGCTATGTATGTTGTAAAAAAAGTTCACCATACATATATACAATGTGTTGACGTAGCTACATTACCACCTCTGAGGTAAAACAAAATCCAGGACATATCATAGGAAAAGAGAATATCTCACGATATCAGATGATAAGATAACTACAGGCAAATACAGGTTTGTCTTTCGTGGTGTATGATCGTGCAACTGACAAAAAACGACACTTCTAATCTTGAGGCAATACTTGCTGGTTTTTAAGGAGAGCCATCTCAACAAAGACGGTCCCATGGGAAAACCAGGACAGGGGGCAACCCTATCATAGCAGCTACTGGTAATTAATTATTATTCCTCTCTTTTCATTGGGTAATCAGATTATTGTACTTAGAATGTACAGCAGCAGCCAATAAACAGAGGTCCCGACATGCAGCCCGCTGGCGGTTGGAGCATTGTGCTAATTCAGAAAAAGCTACACCTAATGTATGTCAATTTGAAGAACTTGATCGATTAATAGGATCAGGTTGCTTTGACTATATCAATTACACAATGTAATTATGCTCCAGGCAGTTCCCGGGTTACGGGAGGGTTAGGTTCCCGAGAATGATCCATAACCCGAATTTTCCGTATGTCGGAAACTGAACAATTTTCGCCTCGCTCCACGGTATTCATCCTGAACCTCACCGCGCTGCACTACTTGCACTTTCGTAACATTTACGAATATAGATTTTGACATTATTTATTGGAGCATTTCTGTAAGGTCGGATTACCGTAAGTCGGGTCTTCCGCAATCCGGGGACTTACTGTACTTGAAATTTAGAGTACGGTAGACAGTGATCAGCAACTCAATACATTGAATTGCTGTGATAAAGTAAAAAAATAAACGTGCCCATGCTAAGATCCCTGGATCCCAGCAATGCCGGCTCAGTGCCTCTCACTCCACATTGTCTCGGCCAAGCCACCCTGTCCATTCTGACCGCTCACCTGAGTGGAGGCAGCGGCAAGGGGATGAAGGCCCTGGGCTGGGCAGTCCCTGGGGCATCTGGCAGCGGCCGCGATGAGGATGCCACGGGTAACTGAGGAAGCTGTCCTCGTCCATGGCCACTCTGGCTCTCTGAGTTGCTCTTGGGAATCGCGCCGTAGAGACACCTCCGTGATCGGAGTTCTGTTTTCCGTTTTTGTTTAAGAGGCAGACGGACAAAGTAATTAGCATGCTGTTTCCAGAAAGGGAATGCTTTTGAGTTTCGTATTTATAAAACCGTGGAAGCACAACCTTATTTTAAGATATCATTGCTCGTGCTGCGTTGTGGAAGTTGCTGGCCGGTTGGACACTGAGCCACTCCTCAACCCAATTATTCACCACACCCTCCACCTCAACCAACGATTCAAGGAATTGTCGCAATTCAGGATGGTGATTCATGTATGTATGTATGATTAACTTTTTTTCGCACCGTACGTAGCCAATCGTGCAAATCAGTTCAATAATTATTTATTTGGATTCGGAAAGTCAGGTTTTGGGGAGGTCATGATTGGGAAAATTGAGTTTAGGGAGGTCAGGTTTAAGGAGGTTGGGTTGTTGATGCCACCACAGTTCCACACTTTACCATCACTTAATTCCTTCTGCCAGATCAGCTGTTGAAAAATTTACTTCCAACTTCCCAGGTGCGATTCTACAGTTCCATCACCACGATCACCTCACTTTAGGTTTCTCCCTTAATAATCTGTCTTGGAACCCTGTCATCTTCCATAGAGCCAGTGTACTGTATGTGAATGGGCACACTGACAGGACATTAGCTGTATCAATAAGCCTTGTGCAGTAACATCACCTTTTCCTGGAGTTTCCTTGGGAAGGTCCTTCTCCCCTTGAACCGAATTCTGCATTAACAAAAAATAGTATCGACATGAAGTAGCAATCATAATAATAATAATAATAATGTCTATTGTAGTTTTATATGGCGTCAGTCATGCAAAATGCATCTCACAATTAATCAGGAACCACAGACATGCTGGAAGGCAGCAAGGCGCCAATACCCTAAGCCCTTCAAGTCCTCTATGTATTAAGATGTATTCAGAAAAGTCATGAGTGTTTATACAAATCAACATAACTTATGAAGTATATGTATGCAGCCGCATCTGAAGGAGATGCTGTACAAAAAAAAGTGCAGAAATGCTCATTTTGGTCAAACAAAATGAGGTTAAGTGGAAAATTCAGGGAGAGCAGAGCGCTGAAAAAATGTAATGAAATGACGATCTATATAATTGTTTAGTCTTACTTCACAAGCCTACACCGTCCAATGTGACAAAGTATGCTCAAACAACTGCCATGACTGACAGTGTGGGAAAGCCTCTGTCCAGTCAGTGGATTGTCTGTACACAAGTGAAACTTTTTTTGCCACGACCAATGCAACATACTGCCCGGTTCCCCCCCTAAAGCTCTGCTTTAGGGGGGGAACCGGGCAGCTGCACTGGAGCCCATGGGGTAGAGGGGCCCACCAGGCACTGCGCTACAACGAGTGGGGGGGGTGGGAGGTGGTGGTGCGGACGAGCTCTGTAGAGGGGCCCCCAATTTATTCCTCCCATCAAGGTCCACGCCAACCACGAGACCAAAATATTTCATCCTCAAATTCTGCTAAACACAGACGGCGTGAGCGTAATCTCTCGCTGGCATCGGAGCAAGCAGCTTGGACAGGGTTAAAGAAGGGTTGGTCGTGGTCACCGTTGGCTCCACCAAAAACTAACAACTTTGAGAATGTATGATAATCACTGATCATCTCTCTCCTCCTGCCTACTTGCCTGTCTTGTCCAATGATCGACAAGGTTACCTGCCTACCTGTCTACCCACCTGTTTGTCTACACCTGTCCATCTGGATGCCAGTGTCTCTGTCCTCACCTTCATCGGGCTGGGCCCACATGAGCTGATGCTGTGCGAGGATTGGAGGTGGGAGGGCCGTGGTACTGGGCTGGGGGGGGTCTCGGCCCTGCTTGTGGAATCCCCCCGGGAGATCAGGGTGGCTCTCACAGACTTCAATATCCCCCTGGTCACCGCCACAGCTAAGCGAATACAGCAAATACCGTGATTAACAAAAACAACCGCCACGAAGTGACAGTGACGTCACCACAGCTCATTTGCCAGAGTAGGTGCACTTTGAGGCCACGGGAAATGCTGAATGTTTTCACATGACTGAGATTGAAGAGAAACTTCAACCATTAAAAAGCGCATGTTTAACACGTCGGCTTTCGCGACCAATATCATTGATAATAGAGGTTTTTTGGGTTAGATTGCGTAAAGCACATGCCACTATTTGTAGCACTTACTATTTTGGGGTGAAATATCTTCTTCATTCTCATAATCAAACTGAAAGTAAAGAAACAATTTCATTAGACACGCAAGAATGCATAATTTTTCCAATTGATTGTTTATTAAAACATAGTACTGTATGACAGAGAGGGAGGAGTCTTTCAACATCAGAGGGTGGGCCCAACCCAGGGAGGTGCCAGTGGAACTACTGAGCTAGGATTGGTCATCTTGGTTCAAAAGCAAAACAGCGGGAAAGTGGAATAGGGGGGGGGGACAGTGGACTGTCGGTTGGGAGGCAAAGAGATGGGATTGGTGGAGGAAGGCGGGGGACGAGAGGGAGGGGGGCATGGATAAAAGGAGAGGTTCAAGAAGGGGGAGAGGGGACGGCTGGGAGAATGAACCTTATGGCGGTACCGCGCGGTTCCAAAGTACCCCGGCTCTCGCATAATGTCCGTGATGCAGTCATTTTTAGTCTGTTGGTGGTTGGCGATGCGGCAATCGATTCATCTCGACGAGCTGTAAACGATGCACTATTAAAAGTTCAAATTTTCCATAAAGGATTTTTTATGCTAATGTTTGGCGTTTCGACATCGTGGAGTAGCACTGATTTCGTATTGCTTGGTACCCCAGTCGCGGAGTTAAGTACACCCCTGGAAAACATAGTGTCACAGAAATTAAATATTGAATTGCCTCAGCCATTTTGTATTATTTGGTACCCCGGGGTACCAGCATAAGGACCAAATGATGTCTGGAAGCTTGTCAGTCGGTGTGCTAAAATAAAGGTCCTCATATCTGACGTCGGTGTCCTGAGTCCTTCTACGTATGTATTATTAGCACCTACAATTAGCATGGTTGGTTAAGTACGGTGCGAAAGAAGTTCAACATACATACGCACTTATTTCGACTACAATAACACCTAGTAATTGACAAATGTGCGAGATGACTAGTATTACAGACAACATTTCTCAAGCAGGGATTGGAACCCATGCCCTTTGCAGATTATACTAAAGTAACATCGAGTATATTGTATAATGTATAGCCCTTTGTCAAACCACTGCTGGATGAATGCCTCACACCATGCGGGTCACAGGGGTTCTATGACCATACTTCACCCTGCTGGTCAGTGCAGGTGCGCAAAGGAGGACGCAGGACCAGTTCCGATAATGCTTGCTACAGATGGCAGCTACGGGGCCGGGAATGGAACTCAAGTCGGTCGCCGGGTTCATAGTGCAGTGCGCTAACCACTGTGCCACTACTCCCCTTTGTGATATCGTATAGGCCTTCCACTTGTCAAATGGCGATGCAGTCCTTTCTCGGTTTCCATTATATTTGCCGTTTCTGGCCCACTTAATGTGTTTTTTTTCCTGGTAGGTCAGCGTATACTGATGATGGGAGTACATATCGATATCAATTGTAAAAAGAAAAACAAGTGATGAAGAGTTTTACCGCATTCATATGTTCAACAGGCTTAGGTTTTCGCTGTTTTGGGGATCCTGCGTGAGGAAACATACCACATTAATATATTACTTGGCATTCCAGCACAATAAAGAAAAACATTCTGGCTGACCGTTAATTATTATTTACTACTATAATGAGCCAAGAATGTCCGTGTTCCCCGCGTGTGACGTCATTATACGTCGGCGAGCTCCCCTCATTAATAATAATGAACAGATGACGTCCTCCACATGGACCCCCCCCCCCTCATTAATAATCATGAGCGGATTACGTCCCTCCACATGTATCACCCCCCTCATTAATAATCATGAGCAGGTGACACCACATCGAACAGCCCCCCTCATTAATAATAATGAAGAGGTGACGTCTTCCAAATGGACACCTCCCCGCCATTGATAGAAATTAGCGGGTGACGTCACTCCACATGGGGGGACGAGGCGCCTCCTCCCCCCTCCTCAGCGTCAGCTTCAACCCTCACTACAAAGGCAGAACCCTCACGTCACGTGATCTCCGTAACGCTGTTGAGACATCGAAGTAAAAAGGACGTCGTGATGAACAAGGGATTTTAAACCTTTAAATGAAATAAGTCTGTGTCACCGTGTCCTTACAAATTGCACATTAATTGATTCAATGACTATCACGTCGCGGTCTGCTTTTCGCTTGTAAGTTTCAGATTTACTGAAATACACCTGTTCTTGGACGGGCAAAAGACTAGTACAGCAATATTAGTCCTCTTTATTGACACAGGAAAGTCTCACTGAGACCCGAACATTTTTTGAGAGGTTCTTGCTAAAACTAGATTCGAAGCTTGCTACTATTTAGCAATTTATAATGTCGGAGGAAACTGCAACGACACACTAGAGTGCATCACTTTCCCACCAACCCGGTTACAGCATTAAATGTTCAATGCATGACAAACAAACCAATATTTTTTACATTTTCCGCAGGAATTTTGATAGATTGAGTGCAGACCCAAATTGTACGTGAAGGCTTTATTATACAAACACCGATGACTAGGATAAGAACATCAACACACTACAGGGTAATCACAAGCGGATGTCTGTATTTAAGAATCCGAATTTGTTCTTTTATCCTGGATTAATCCAATGAGCTATGAAGCTCTTTTTCATAGATGTCGAGTAGGGGCACGGGGGTCAGAAAGTTGAAACAACAAACAATACAAAAACGACAGAGGAGTGCAAAAAACGATAGGGGAGTGCTAACTGTAGGAAAGGTAAGAGAGTCAGCGGTGCAAGCTTAGTGTCTCTGACCTCTGAGCCAATGGGCCATCTCAGACGATGGTACCTTTGGCATGTGGGAGGTTGCCGAGGTTGGCGCTCGCCCCATTTGGAATGATGTAATCCATATCGCTGTCGCTCGATGAATCCTGAGTGCTGCTCTCCTTGTGGGATGCCTGGTGCTGCCCAGCCTGAGTGATGCAGTCATCGTAAATGCAAGCCTGCGGCACGGGCAGCACGAAGCAAGTGCTAAGATAGCGCTTTACAACCAGTTCGCACAATGGACTTGCAATATTCGAATTGCCGGTTCAATCTACAGGCTCAGCAGTTGACGCAATGCGCACATTTCTTAATTGCCCTGCCTCTGTTCACCCAGCAGCAACAAATGTATACACCAGTAAATCGACCGCAATGTTGCATGTAGTGGGGGTAGAGTGTGCGTGATTTTACTTCTTTCAAAGACATCTGGTCAGTGTGGAATTATTGGCCGAAATATGCTCTAGAGATCTCTAGAGCTCCCTGGAGTGGAGGCCCTTCCTCCAGCAATGGAGTCAGCAATGAATTTCAGTGCTGCACCTTTACCTTTTTACTCATGGTAACACACTCCAGACCACTGTTTCAGGTTTGTCACTCTTCTCAAGGACCCATCAGATGGGAACATTTTACTGTAATGTCTTACGGTTGTAGGGTCATGAGGTAAAAAAAAACCTAGTTGCTGGTCATTTTAGATATTTGTCACTGCAGGGTAGATAAAATGAGTTCCACTTAGCATGAAGTCAGGAGGTGTTTCAGATAGAGGGAATGGCATCTGAATTTATGTCACTAGCTCTGGGCCAGTGGTATTACTGATCCCTGCCGTGGCAATGTGGAATTTCCACAATTGGCTCATGAAGGTGATGCTCTCTTGAGCGTCGACACTTTTAACTCTTGATGGTTTTACCGCGAGAGTTTACTCGTGCATTATATTTCCGAATAAAACAATGCCGTGCATTAATGAAAAGAGAATGCATTAGAGGAAGAATAATGCATGTGTCACAGGTTTTTTTTCCATGAAAATGTTCATACCTCTGATTTGTATGGCTCTGAAAAAAGAAAGAACAGACAACATAAAAAGGTTGCATTGTTAAATAACTGGCTGATAGAGACATCCTCGTGATCACCAAATGCATAGGCGATGGAGAAGAAGTTTCCAGCAATATTAAGTGACTCAGAGGGTTCATAATGACCATGGAAGAGTACTGGGCCAGCGCCTCTGGCTTAAATTTAGTCTATCAGCTACCCTTGATTAAACCAGGTTCTCAGATTAAATTAGTTGATGGTCTCAGCTCATTTCAGCAATGCCTGCACGTAAAAACTGCTTTGGGGCTTTGTTTGGCTTGGCCCAGATCTGAAAATGTATTCGTCAGACAGGAATGTTGGGTAAGCACTTGATCATAGTGAGATAGCTGCAGTTACATGCTATCTATATGCAGTAACATTTATGGTACGGTGTTATTTGTTGGGTATTGGCGGCGTGATTTGAGCATCCGTTTAACAAATCGAAGGGTGCAAGTTCAAACCCTGGTTGTGGATTGGCGCAGCCCATCATCATCATCGTCCCTTTGGTGTGTGGAAAATGAGCACCACTGAGTAGGAAGTCAACAGTGGCTGACCCAAGCATGGCCTGGCTCCTGCCATAGAAGCAGGGAATTTTTTCCATGACTGGATCAGGAACAGCCACAAATAAAGATGCTTGATTTCAATATGATGAAGGTTTTGACGAACGGCAGGTGAGTGTCTTTGTGGCTGGCACAGAATTGTGAAGTGCATAGGCGGAGTTTGGTAGTTTTGTGTAAAGGCCGAGCAATGGCACGTTTGCTGCTTGTTGCAGAGATTGAGGGTTCAAGTCCGCCAGCTCCCCTGGTAATTATTGCTGGTGTATTAACCGCTGGTGTATTATCTACTGGTGTATTACAAGCTAGTGTGTTATCTGCTGGTGTATTAACCGCGGGTGTATTATCTACTGGTGTATTATCAGCTGGTGTATTATCTGCTGGTGTATTAACCGCTGGTGTATTAACCACTGGTGTATTAACTTGAGGATTCCATGTTATTCAATAAATAGTATGCCGTGTGCCAGCCTCACCATACATATTTCAAAAATGACTCAATTGGGAAAACACATCATAATCATCACGCCCGACTGCAAAGCTACTGTAGATTGTCTGTGAAATGGAACCTTTATTACAGCCTTGTAATAAAGGCTGTAATAATATAAGAATAACGCTAATATCAAATGTGGTAATGATTTAAATTGCTGAAAATAATGCACCTTCATATGGCAAGTCTTGCTTGTAGTCAGGAGGAGGAGGAGTTGGTGGTTCTGTCTTCACGAGTCTGTAGCGAAATCAATTTGGAGACAGGAACAACCACACCAACACCAAATACTGTGAACTTAGCATGCCCTCTATTTTCTCAGAGAAGCCTCACCGACTCCTAAAACTTCTTCTCAACAGGGCCCTGCAACTGTGGTGTTTGCAAAATTCCTCTCCAATGGGTTTTCTGAGCCTGGGAGGGAACCAATGCATGCCTAAAATAAAATGACTAGGAGGATATAACATGTACAATTATTCATGTGTAGGGCAATACCACTCAAAGGCCTGCTCAGATGGGTTTGTGAACCCATTTGCTGCACTGCCACCTGCTAGCCACGTTAAAAGCAGGCCAGTACGATCGTGTAGGTCATTATGTGACTATGTTGCGGTAAAGATATTCACGTTCAACCTTTCCCAGAACCAAACTCTAAAAAAATTGTTATTACCACTCCAATGAAAATATGCGTTATGCGGTTTCCATTGTGTGAAGACGCCAACACATGTTGTACTTGGAGCCTTTATTTATTTGATAGAGCACCAACACTGGGCCCCGCTTCTCTCGCTTTACTCTTGAAGCTCAACGTCCCCTCCCCCCTTGTGCTTCTCCCCTTTGAACCCTTTCGGAGCCCAAATCTCTCGAAACGTCTCGCACTGTCCTCCATTCAGCCAACCCCCGTCCTTCTCCCTCGAACGGTTCCCAAACGTCGCCTCAGTTTGAACCTCTCCTCCAATCCCTTCTAACCTTGCATCCCGATCAATCACCATGGAGGCCTCTCTGCACCTACCTCCTGATAAGTCTGTTTGGCTGCACGTTTGGTTCGGGTGAGTGATCGAGAATTTCGGTCACGACAATTGCAAGAAATAACGACACTCAATAGGATCTCACTGAGATGATAGCAATTTTACCAGAAATCTTCATAAATTAACCGCAGCACGAAGCCAATAGGAAATCAATGACCATGTGTAACCACAGCTACAAAGTTCGTCAAAACAATCATCCTTGTGTAATAGCCACATACATTCGAGACAAGTTCACTATTTTTTCTATTGCAGAACCAGAAACCGCTTTGACATTTCATTTCATCCACATCACTCACTGCTGTGGGAAGCACAATTACTTACCCATGAAATTATCACTCTCAGGACTCATAATGGGCCTGCATTTGGATATTTGGTAAATTCCATTTTAGAGTGTTTGGATTGTATTAGATGTATATATTTGTCCGCTTACATACTTGAAAATAAGCAGCAAATGTTAAAAGGCATTTTCTCTGTAACTTAATTTTACTTGGCGCAGCCATCTTCCAGCAAACGGAAGATCAAATATTTTCCGAACCGCGACTGTGAAGTCCAAACCATCAAACGCATCAACGACAAATTTGCCGTCCACACAACATCCCGCGATCCACACAGCGCCTGCTGCTGCTGCTGCGTCCTTGGACCGGTTGAACAAACTTAGCATTCGACTCGAAAACATTGCAACTAGAGGCCGACCGAAACTGAATTTCTGGTTTCAGCCGAAACCAGACCGAAAGTAAAAAATTGACTTTTGGCCGAAACCGAAATAGATAGGTATATAACCGAAGTTACCGAACACAAGATTTATGAAATATGTCATGATGCAATGCTACTTTAATTAAAAAAAAATCTAGAACTAATCACTCAGAGCCTGCAGTAAAAGTCGCTAAATATCAAATCTTTAGGTGTTCCTTACTTAGTAATAATATCCAAACAAACGAATGTTGTAGTTAAGAAACAACAGTTTGTCCACATTCAGCCAGGCAGGCTGCCGTCTGTTGACCGGTCGTATATACATTAGCAGACCATGGTTGCGGCTGTAACCTCGCTCCCAAGCTGCTGCTGTTGACGTGTGTGTGTTTGTGTGTACGTGTGTGTGTTTGTGTGTACGTGTGTGTGTGTTTGTGTGTACGTATGTGTGTGTTTGCAGCCTATCGCATAGGATTGCCTAGCGCCGACTGACCGGCCGATAGGCAGAGTGATAGACGTAGCACTAACGTTATATTCTAAAATAGATCTTCGGTTGACGAATGACGACCGAAAGTCAATATCAGTTTTGGCCGAAACCGAAACCAGATCGAAAGCTAAAAATTAACTTTCAGCCGAAACCGAAAGTAAAAAATTTACTTTTGGCCGAAACCGAAAGTAAAAAATTGATTTTTTGGCTGAAACCGAAAGTATGCCGAAAGAGGACATTTGCCAACTTTCGGCGCCGAAACCGAAACCGAATTTCGGTCGGCTTCTAATTGCAACACTTGCTTTTATCTCCTGCCATGCAAAAGATTATGCACGGTTTTTCAAAAGTAATTTGTCCAATCCATGATTAATTATATGAAATGTATTTAATTTAATATTGATTTATTTTCTGTGATACTTTAAATGTATTCTGTAACGCAGTTGGTTTTGCTCTATCTATACACCTGGTTATTTTCTTATTTTTTAATTTACTTCATTGATGTAATTAACTTTACGTTATTATTTTGGTGACTCTTGCAAATGAGACTTAATCCTGGTGAAAAAAATAAACTTAAAACTGAATAAACCTGGCGAAAACCCACACATATGAACACTGCCACCTCCTGGCAGTTTATCGCTAAACTCATTCTAATTTCATATCATTGTACATCAGCAAAATATTTAAGTTTGAAAAAAATTGGCCAGTAAAGAAAATATAAAATATAAAAAGTTAATTGTCCGCCTTCTCAAATGAGCATGGGTGGTGATTATCTCCGTTTGCGACTCTGGGCGAAATTTCACATTCTCGTGGTGGTTACCAGGCTCTGTATTCGGATAACCACCGTTAACATGTTCACCATTAACATGCAAAAAAAAACTAGCTCAGCCGGCAAACGCTTTGACCACTCTGCTACCATTTGACCTTGTTGTTCATCATGACATCATCGGTCAACTTTCCTCCCAAGTATAAGGTATAAGAAGGTTCCATATTGTGTTTGCTAAAGGTGTTTTGCGAACGTTGACCCAGAGCTTGTGCTGCCATTGCGGAAAGGCAGCAGACTGCGTCCGCACAGCATTTCTAAGAATTACGACCGAGATGATGATATTGGGGGAAAGAAAATAACTTCCCTTCAACTGTAAAGAGTAGCGCCGCTGACGGTTGATTGGGAAATATCCATTTGCGATGAATGACTAAACATCGTGAGAAAATGTAGTGCTGTACGTATGCATGCATGTGTAAATCAGTCCTGGGCCTCCCCCTGGTCGACTCAGCGGTAGTAACTGGTGCAGCGGGCTATCTGAAATTTGTTTTACACAAAACGCTATTTTTGTGGGGTATATGCGTCTGTGGGTTATATGCGTATGCAGGTTATATGCGGGAAAATACGGTATTCAAGTTTGTGTACGTTTGCAGCTAAGTATGTGTGTATATATATGTGAATGCGTATGTATTTGTGCATGCGTGTTCATGCGTGCGTCCATATGAATGCATGTGCATGTGTGCGGGTACACGCATGAATGGGGGGAATTGGTGTAGTGGTTAGCGCGTTGCGCTACGAACACAGTCCTGGGCCTCCTAGGTCGACTCCGCCTTAAATTATGATGGTACCTGGTGCGGTGTGTAAACATCGCCACTGGGGAGACAAAGACGGCCGAGCGTGGTGTTGGCCACCCACCCCCTCGTGTGCATTGCTGGCCTTCTTCATAGGCAATCACTAACACAACTTGTCCCAATAGTCTGGTAGGCTATACGGAAGATGAGAACAGGGTTTCCCCTTTTTTCTGGCAACAAAACAGCTGTTAGGATGTTAAAACACCAAACTGAAACCTTTTACAAGGAATCATGTCTGCATTAACCACAATACTTGTGGTCAGAATGCAAACAAAAAACATACTCTGATAATATATGCATTGTCTTTGAAACTGATTGGTCCACACCAGTGACAGCTTTCTTTTGTCCAAAAACTGTTAGACCGCGTCCTCTGCTCTAACACCGTTTGGGACTAGGATCAAAAGAAAGCTGTCTCTCTCGTTTGAAAACTAATTTTTTTAAGAACAGTTTTTTGTGTGTTTAGTTTGTTGTCCTTCCCGCGCACCTCCGATTAGCACGGTTGGCTACGTTAGGTGCGGTGGATTATCGTGGAGGCGCTGTTGTTGAGATCCGCCAGGATGGATCGCAGTACTCAGTGGATTGGCCACCGCTGGTCTAGACAAACATAACAATGTGCACTCTTTGTTTCTTTCGGTAAAGTCACGTAGGTATAAAATAAAATAAATCACGACGTTTCGGGCACAACACAAGCGTCCGTCATCAGGTGGGAAAGCATGGCCTGCTGCTGAGGCAGACTGTTTTAAAACCGTTTGTTTTATTTTCTACCTACGTGACTTTACCGAAAGAACCAAAGAGTATGGATTCCTGCAGTCACGAAAGCTTCAAATCAAGATAATCCACCTTAAAAAAAGATAACCCACTCTAGTTTCATTAACATACTTGACAATCCTCCTCTAATCATATACCCACATTATGAACCATACAATGAACCATATAATTGCATCACTTCATCTGCTTAACGGTCGGTCCCTACAAAAGAACACATTTTGTTGAGATGAGCTTTCATGGATTATCAGCTGTTTCAAGGCTACCACCTACCATGTAGCAAAATGCAGAGCTGCCCTATGCGAAGCACCGATGCACAAAGCACTGCCATCCTTACCGAGTCATTTTCTCCTTCCCCGTTTGCCACATGTCAGTGGGAGACACCTGGAACCTGCCAGAAACAATGACGAACCCCAATCACGTCTGATTTCTTATAGTGTACATTATTTCCTCTGCTACTTTCTGGTAGGCCAATCAAACTGCACGCCCCAAGTCCTAGCCCTCCTCCCGATCCCCCTCCCCCGCTGAAGGCCCAGTTCCCCTTTTGAATTTCTGATAGTCAAGTCAAACAATGTTGGTACAATATTTCTCATACAGCATGACAGACAAAAGCTGTTCTAATAATGGCATTCGTTTAAAGTTTGTTTAGCTCTGTGTCGCCCCCCTTGGTTTATGTATGACCCCTCCCCCCTTTGAATGAAGTCTTGCTACATGAGTTGCTCTCAACCGAAGGCTAGTGGTTCCCAACCTTTCTGGACCGCCATGCACGAAAAGCATACAGTATGTGTCAACATTAAACGCGTCAACATTACTCCAAACCGTAGCATCGGCAACAGCGCTGCAGACCACTTCCCACTGCGTCACCAGCCACCTGTGATCTCTGGACCACAGGTTGGGAATCACTGTTCTAGGGATACACACAGCAAATACTAATCCCATGGAAAGCGATGGTACACACTGCACATGTACATGTGTTGCTGTACTAATGTTGCAGAGTGAGAGAGAGAAACGTACCTTTTTGTTAATTCAGCCACAACTTTCCACTTTCCCTTTGGGTCCAATTTGTTGATGTCCTGTGAGAGTTTGAATATCTGTCTGCATAAAGACACGTTTTCAAAACAATTACACGTTTAACTATCTTGCCGATGAACACACTTTGCGATGAAATAGGGAGCAGGTAAATACAATAAATGATTTTACTGCATAATACTGAGTTGTCTGTCCGAATGCGACCGCACATCAAGACAGGCAATATAACCCCTAAAAAATATAACTATACAATTTTAATTTACAGTTTAATACAAACTCTACCACTGTCATCCTCGAAATGAAGAAACACTCTTTTATAACTCCTCCAGTCAGCAAACCCTCACTTCCTGTCACGGAACCACCCCAAATGTCAACACAACAGAACTACTATTGCAGTCAATTAAATTAACAAATCTCTCTCAACGCACGCAGTGCTAATTCATGCTGTCAAGTGCGGTTCGCCTTGTGTAATTTAACAGAAAATATATACACATTATAGACCCTCCAGCTGAGATAGGCATAACTTGGTGAAAAGTCAAAGTGATTTCCTGTTCAAATGAGCATTACACTAAAAACGAAACTTTTTTTATTTTACCAGTTAAGGCCCACTGAGCTATGTAGCTCTTTTTCAGAAGCGACCTGGCTACAAATGATAGCTCAACGAAGTAGCTTATCACGTGGAAATATATAGCAGCCAAATATTCTAAACCGGTGCATATCCCCAGTTTACAGCCCTGTGCCAGTGGTGGAAAATCCTCATTCCTATCGTGTGGGTGAGATTATTCATAGGACAAACACTATATTCTTAGTTTTTTCGGTAAAGTCACGTTGAAGAGAAACAACAAAATAACAAAATATATATAAAACAATAAAAATTCTCACGACGTTTCGACCATAACTCAAACGGTCATCATCAGGTGTGTCGGTTTGCATAAATTTATTTTGAAAACGGTATATTTATTTATATATATATAAATAAATAAAAATAACGTTTGCGTCACGCGCAGCGATTGGCAGTTTGCCCAGGACTAGTCCATCTATTTTTTGAAAAGAGGAGGGGGGAGACGAAATTTGTTTTTATGTATGCTGTCTGAAAGCCACTGTAAGCGTGAACAATCAATCAAGAACTGAAATGATTTATCAAATCTTTCCAATGATTGCTAAGATAGAATCCATCTTCTCGGTTGAAATTGTCTCTGTGCTTGTATATGTGGATAGCCTCATGAACGAATCTCTCATGGAAGCCAGATGGCTTACAAAGAACCTCCGTCTTGGAAAAGTCAATGGCATGTGAGCCTACTGAATTAGAACAATGATCTGCTACGGCCGAGGTGTTGGTCCTACCGTGTTTAAGGTCTGCTTAATGTTCACGAATGCGGTCCGAGATATGGCGTTTGGTTTCTCCAATGTAACTACTACCACAGAGGCAACTTAGTTTGTAGACACCAGGGTATTGTATGTCCGGAATCACATCTTTTACAGACGGAACCAGATCACGGATTTTATGTAATGTGTTGAAACGGACCTGGATCTTGTGTTTATTCAAGATTTTGGAGATCTTTTTTGTGATCCCAGCAATGTAGGGTAAAGTGATGGTTTTGAAAGGCTCCTCAAGAGGGTTCTTCTTCATGGTTTGAGTGATAGCTTTGCGGATTGTATAGTCGGAGTAACCATTAGCCCTAAGAGCTTGGTGTACGTGCTTGAGTTCACTGCTTATGTGTTCCTGGTCGGATATGCATTGGGCTCTATGATACAGAGTCTTGATAAGAGAATTCTTCTGTGATGGATGGTGGTGGGAATCCGGTTTCAGATAAGCATCCGTATGGGTAGCTTTCCTGTAGACAGAGTGGCTCATTGAACCATCAGGTCTCTTTTTAATTAGGACATCCAAAAAGGTATCTTGCCATCTATTTCGACTTCCATGGTAAATCTGATGGCTGGGTGTATGGAATTGATGTGGTCGAAGAATTGGTCTAGAGCAGGCCGGCCATGTGGCCAGATGACAAAAGTGTCATCCACGTACCTCTTCCATAAGGTTGGGCGCAGAGTGGCAGTCTGGATGGCGTCAGTCTCAAATTTCTCCATGAAAATGTTAGCTATAACTGGAGAAAGGGGGGAGCCCATTGGGGTGCCCTCAGTTTGTTTGTAGAAAGTTCCATTCCAAGTGAAGTATGTATTGGTTAAACAGTGTCTCACCAGGGGGGGTACCTCAGTGTTTAGTCCTTGATGAACCAAGTCTTCAATGATTGCAATGGTGTCAGGTACAGGAACCTTGGTGAATAAGGAAACTACATCAAAACTGACAAGCAGGTCGTCTGGGGACAGGGAAATACCCTTGATTGTTGATACCAGGTGAGTAGAATTTTGTACCGCAGAGGTGGTCTTTCCAGTGAAAGGACGCAGGATTTCAGACAAAAAACGAGCTAGTTTGTAGGTGGGGGAGCTGATAGTAGAGACTATGGGACGAAGAGGTGTATCAACTTTATGTATTTTTGGTAAGCCGTATAATCTTGGTGGCCTGGCAGCAGAAGGTTTCAACGAAAACTGTTTAGATTGATCAATTAATGCGGTTGAATCAGAAATTATTTTGTTGGTTTGTGTGACGAGGCTGTTGGTGGGATCTCTTTTTATTTTTGTATAACTACCATCGTCGAGTAATTCTTTAATTTTGTTGTTGTATTCTATTTTATCCATGATGACAGTAGCATTGCCTTTGTCAGCTGAGAGAACTACAATATCATTCCTCTTTTTTAATTTATATAATTCAAAACGCTCATCTTTGTTGAGGTTGCTAGCTGGCATCTTAGCGTTTTTGAGGGTTGCAGCGATTTCAGATCTTGCTACGTCTGCAGCGATGTGACCCAGGCCCCTGAGAGCAACGTCTACTTGGGCAATTATATCATTAACTGGTATGTGTTTAGGTGTGACTGCAAAGTTTAGACCTTTAGCTAAAACGGATTTCAGACCATCGGAAATAGAACTGTTACTGCGATTAATTACGACTTTATTAACGTCTAACTTTTTGGTGTGTGGGTCCGGTCTTTTGTTGAAGAGGAGGTTAAATTTGGAAATCAGGTTTTCCTTACATTTGGTCGACATAGTAGCAGCTGAAGATGCAGTCATATTGTCTACATGTTCCCAATCCGATGTGGACATTATTGCCGTCAATGATAAGTGTGATTTGTAGAGTGTCTTGTCTAACTGATCTAGTTCTGTGCGTATAAGTCTGATTTTTTCTGAGATAAGAGCTAAGCTAGTTTTGAAAAGAATTCGTTTCGCATTAGAAGAAGTTACAGTAGCAGAGGTGAGTATAAATGCGATTGGTATTACCCCAGAGTCGCGGCATCTCTTCAGGAAGGTGAGAGACTCGATCAGCTGAGCTTTCTTATCCCGGAGTTTGTTGAAGGATCTTAAAGTTATGTGAAAACCCTCCCCGTAGAGGCGATTAAATTTTGATTTAAAGCTTTCGTGACTGCAGTAATTCATATTCTTAGTTTTTTCGGTAAAGTCACGTTGAAGAGAAACAACAAAATAACAAAATATATATAAAACAATAAAAATTCTCACGACGTTTCGACCATAACTCAAACGGTCATCATCAGGTGTGTCGGTTTGCATAAATTTATTTTGAAAACGGCATATTTATTTATTTATTTATATATATATATTTTAAAAAACGTTTGCGTCACGCGCAGCGATTGGCAGTTTGCCCAGGACTAGTCCATCTATTTTTTGAAAAGAGGAGGGGGGAGACGAAATTTGTTTTTATGTATGCTGTCTGAAAGCCACTGTAAGCGTGAACAATCAATCAAGAACTGAAATGATTTATCAAATCTTTCCAATGATTGCTAAGATAGAATCCATCTTCTCGGTTGAAATTGTCTCTGTGCTTGTATATGTGGATAGCCTCATGAACGAATCTCTCATGGAAGCCAGATGGCTTACAAAGAACCTCCGTCTTGGAAAAGTCAATGGCATGTGAGCCTACTGAATTAGAACAATGATCTGCTACGGCCGAGGTGTTGGTCCTACCGTGTTTAAGGTCTGCTTTATGTTCACGAATGCGGTCCGAGATATGGCGTTTGGTTTCTCCAATGTAACTACTACCACAGAGGCAACTTAGTTTGTAGACACCAGGGTATTGTATGTCCGGAATCACATCTTTTACAGACGGAACCAGATCACGGATTTTATGTAATGTGTTGAAACGGACCTGGATCTTGTGTTTATTCAAGATTTTGGAGATCTTTTTTGTGATCCCAGCAATGTAGGGTAAAGTGATGGTTTTGAAAGGCTCCTCAAGAGGGTTCTTCTTCATGGTTTGAGTGATAGCTTTGCGGATTGTATAGTCAGAGTAACCATTAGCCCTAAGAGCTTGGTGTACGTGCTTGAGTTCACTGCTTATGTGTTCCTGGTCGGATATGCATTGGGCTCTATGATACAGAGTCTTGATGAGAGAATTCTTCTGTGATGGATGGTGGTGGGAATCCGGTTTCAGATAAGCATCCGTATGGGTAGCTTTCCTGTAGACAGAGTGGCTCATTGAACCATCAGGTCTCTTTTTAATTAGGACATCCAAAAAAGGTATCTTGCCATCTATTTCGACTTCCATGGTAAATCTGATGGCTGGGTGTATGGAATTGATGTGGTCGAAGAATTGGTCTAGAGCAGGCCGGCCATGTGGCCAGATGACAAAAGTGTCATCCACGTACCTCTTCCATAAGGTTGGGCGCAGAGTGGCAGTCTGGATGGCGTCAGTCTCAAATTTCTCCATGAAAATGTTAGCTATAACTGGAGAAAGGGGGGAGCCCATTGGGGTGCCCTCAGTTTGTTTGTAGAAAGTTCCATTCCAAGTGAAGTATGTATTGGTTAAACAGTGTCTCACCAGGGGGGGTACCTCAGTGTTTAGTCCTTGATTAACCAAGTCTTCAATGATTGCAGTGGTGTCAGGTACAGGAACCTTGGTGAATAAGGAAACTACATCAAAACTGACAAGCAGGTCGTCTGGGGACAGGGAAATACCCTTGATTGTTGATACCAGGTGAGTAGAATTT